GTCCACGCGGATCACTGTGTCTGGCGTTCCTCCATTCATCCCGAATGAGGCGCTGGAACGGGAGCTGAAGCGTTTCGGTAAGTTTGCTAGTACTCTCCGCACTGTTGCTCTGGGGTGTAAGGAGGAAAAGCTAAAACATGTCCAATCTCTGCGGAGACAGGTGTTCATGTTTCTGAATTGTCCCACTCAGACACTAGATGTGTCTTTCCGGGTGAGGCACGAAGAGGGTTTTTATATGGTGTATGCGAGCTCAGGGAACGTAAAGTGTTTTGAGTGCGGAGAGTCGGGTCACAAACGTGTTGCATGTCCACAGAGACGGCACGCCGCTCCGCCGGGTGCGGCTGAGCCCGGGGCGGCTGAGTCCGGGGCCGCCGGGGCCGCTGAGCCCGATGCCGCCGAGCCCGGGGCCGCGGAGCCCGAGGCCGCCGAGCCCGGGGCCGCTGAGCCCGAGGCCGCCGAGCCCGGGGCCGCTGAGCCCGAGGCCGCCGAGCCCGGGGCAGCCGAGCCGGCCGCTGGGTCGGCGGCCGCGGAGGCCGGTGTCGCGGGGGCTGCTGTTGCACCCGCCGGGGCCCCAGGGGCTGCGGAAGAAGTAGGGATGAATATCGTGAGAGATTAAACAGGGATTGTAGAGAGTGTGGTGAGTGTGAGAGGAAAAAATGTGGAAACAGGTAAACGGGTGGGAGATGATCTAGTAGGACAGGTGAGGACCGGGGCTGTGGGACAGGTGGAGGCTGTTGGCACACAGCAGGAGCTGCCGTCTGGTTCTGGGAGGCAAAAGAGCTTCAACAGGCTGCAGACAATAATGAGGTGACAGAGATGGACACAGACGGTGAGGGGGATTCTGACTGTGTTTCAGTTGCAGATAGTCTCTCTCAGAACACAGAGATATATTCTTTAGAAGAGATTAATGTCTTTTTAGATGAGTCCTTTGGCAAGGCAGTGGAAGTGAGAGACTTTTTCCCTGACACTAACAAGTTTCTTCATACAGTGAGCACTCTTCAGAAAGTTGTAGGGTTAGACCTGCTGGATGAAAAGAGACGCTATCGTCTCAGGAAGCATGTAACTACTATGAAAAAAGTTACGAAAGGAAGTAAAAAAGGGGGGAAACTGAAAAGGTCTAAATAGTTTCAAAATGATCATGCAACACTGGGTGTCTCCTCTCTGCTGTGTGTACCTGTCTGTTCTTTTTCTCTGTCTCCTTCCTCTAATGCAGGCTTTAAGGGTTGCTTCTTTAAACATTAACGGGGGTAGAAGTGCACATACAAGAGCTTTAGTGTTGGAGGTCTTTAATCAGAAAAAATTAGATGTGATATTTCTGCAGGAAACGCACAGTGATAGCCTGAATGAGACGGACTGGGGAATGTGGTGGGGGGGTCAGTATGTACTCAGTCATGGCTCAAACCTTAGTGCTGGAGTAGCTGTTTTTTTCTCCCCCTCTCTAAATGTTAAGATTTTATCCAGCACAGAGATAGTGGCAGGTAGAGCCTTGATGGTGAAAGTAGAACTGTTAGAGTTCTTTTTCACTTTTATTAATGTTTATGCACCCAATCAGGGCCCTGCACGTGTATCTGTGTTTCAGTTATTAAAAGACGAGCTAGACACTAGTGTACAGGGGGAGTGTGTTATACTGGGGGGGGACTGGAACGCTTGCACTAATGTCACTTTAGACAGAATAGGACAGGAGCCGCATCCTCAGTCGTCCCTTTTACTGTCACAGGTGATAAGAGAGGCTGACTTAGTGGATGTGTGGAGGATGAAGCACCCCTCTGTTAAACAATACACCTGGATGAGAATGCTAGATGGGGGCGTCAGTGCAGCCAGGCTAGACAGATTTTACATGTCTGCTTCTTCTATTACTCGTGCAGTGAACTGTCACATCCAACCTGTTGGTTTTACAGACCATCAGCTAGTTTCTTTAGATTTGGTTTTATCCAACACAGAGAAACCTAGATCGTTCTGGCAGTTTAATGTTACAATTTTACAAGATTTGACTTTTTGTGAGAATTTTAAATTATTTTGGATCAACTGGAAATCAAAGAAAGAATCTTTTCCCTCCCTGAGTCAGTGGTGGGAGGTAGGAAAGGCTCAGATTAGAGTGTTCTGCCAACAGTATACAGCCTACTCCACTGCAAACATTAGGAGAGCTATAGAGCAGTTAGAGAGGGAGATCAGAGAGTTAGATAGTGTGTCTGCTCGAAATATAGAACAGTCCCTCCTAAAACAACAACAGCTTAACTGTTTTCTTCAGGAGAAGGCCAAGGGAGCTCTGATCAGAGCCCGTTTTACTTCCATGAGAGACATTGATGCACCAACCACCTTTTTCTTCAACCTGGAGAGGTCTGTGGGCCAAAGGAAGCAGATGGTATGTCTGCGTCTCCCCGATGGACAGGTAACCTCTGAACCTGCTGAGATGAGGAGGCATGCAGTGTCCTTCTACACAGACCTGTTCAAAGCCGAAGGTTGTGACGTGGAAGCTGCTGATGAACTTCTTCAGGGTCTTCCACAGCTGAGTCCAGCCGAAAGTGACACCCTGGGCTCTGACATTACGCTGGAGGAATTGACCTCTGCGGTGACACAGATGGCCTCCGGCAAGGCTCCGGGCATAGACGGTTTACCTGCAGACTTTTTATAACATTTCTGGAGTATTCTGGGACATGACTTGCTGGAAGTATTGATGGAGTCCTTTGGGAAAGGGACTCTTCCAGCTTCCTGTAGGCGTGCAGTGATTTCACTGTTGCCTAAGAAAGGAGATCTAACCCTGCTTAAGAACTGGAGACCTGTGGCTCTCTTATGTACAAGTATGTATATGTATAAGATACTGTCAAAGGTCTTAGCAAACAGACTGAAGTGTTTTATTGAACTTCTTATCGGTACTGATCAGACATATTGTATCCCTGGCAGATCAATTGTGGACAATTTGTTTTTGATGAGAGACACTTTTGATGTTTGCAAACTGTATAATATAAATGTTGGTATCATTTCTATTGACCAGGAGAAGGCGTTTGATCGTGTGGATCACACGTTTCTGGCTGCCACATTGCAGGCTTTTGGTGTTGGGGAGCATTTTTTGTCCTGGGTGAAGTGTTTGTACAGTGATCCATGTTGTGTTGTGAAGGAGGGCTGAGCAGACCTGTACCAGTTAAAAGAGGGATCAGGCAGGGCTGCCCTATCTCAGGCCTATTATATAGTATTGCCATCGAGCCGCTTTTGTGCAGACTTAGAAACCGGCTGAGGGGCCTGTGTCTGCCAGAGTCAGCTCAGGCCCCCCCAGTGGTTGTATCAGCTTATGCTGATGATGTCAGTGTTTTTGTCCAGGGTCAGTGAGATATCCAGGAGCTACAGGACAGTTTAGATTTGTATAGGAAGGCTGCTTCAGCCAAAGTTAATTGGGAGAAGAGTGAGGCAGTTTTGGTAGGTCGGTGGAGTCTAGAAAATAGGCCCAGTCTTCCTGGTAACCTTAGCTGGGGAAACAAGGGTTTAAAGGTCCTGGGAGTTTGGTTGGGGTCTGAGGACATGGTGGCACAGAACTGGGAGGGATTGCTGGGAAAGGTGCAAGCAAAATTAGCCAAATGGAAATGGCTGCTACCCCAGCTGTCCTACAGGGGAAGAGTTCTTGTAGCCAACAATCTGGTTGCCTCGTCTCTGTGGCACAGACTCCAGGTGTTAACCCCACCGCCGGGCCTCATGAAACAACTGCAGCGGCTCCTCGTGGATTTCTTCTGGTCGGGTCATCACTGGGTGCCAGCATCGGTCCTGTACCTGCCTGTGGCGGAGGGGGGCCAGGGCCTCGTGGACATTACTGCAAGGACTGCTGCTTTTAGACTGCAGGCAGCTCAGCGGCTGCTGTATGGTGCCTCTCCCTGCTGGCTGGCTATGGCCCGGCTGTTGCTCTGGAGGGCAGGGGGCTTTGGTTTTGATAAACACCTGTTTCTGCTGAAGGCCCCTGCGTACAAGATAACTGGACTTACACCTTTTTACTGCTCAGTCATCAATGCCTGGAAGATTCTGAGTTTTACCAGACCACCTGACCCCCGGCCTGGGATGTGGCTGTTTGAGGAACCACTGTTTGACACTGGTTTTCTTTCTGGAACCCTTTTCTCTTCAGCCACCCTAAAAAATGCGTTCATTGAAGCGGGAGTGGTAAAACTTGGCCATTTGACGGGGGTCTCCACAGAAAAACTGGCTGAGGTGACGGGCATTCGATCAACCCGAGTTCTGGAGAACTTGGTAGATGAGGTGTGGCAGTCGCTGTCGCCATCCCACCGGACTTTTGCTCTGGATGCAGATCTGGCTGACCAGTGGAGAAAGGGACATGATTATGTTTTTCCTGCCTTGAGTGTGGGTCCTGCGGTGGGGGAATGGAGAGAGGAGGATGGTCTCCTGCTATCACTGGGGACTCTAACACCTGCAATGTTCACCTCCTGCAATGGGAAGAAGCTATACCTTAGCTGTGTAAAGGTGTTAAACCTCAGCTCGCTCGCAGGCGTCAGAGAGTCGAGGTGGACGGATGTGTTTGGCTTGGGCTCTTCCCCTCAGGGCAGCTGGCGGATCCTGTATAAATCTCCGGTTGAGAAAAGGATGGCTGACATCCAATGGAGAATTATACACGGTGCAATAGCCACAAACAAATACAGAGCTCATTTTGACCCAGGCACAAGGGGAGGCTGTCCGTTCTGTTTTATGGCAGAAACATTGGAGCATTTAGTCGTGTCCTGTCCCCGATTGGCTGGTCTTAAAAAAATGTTACAGGGGTGGGTGGAAGGGTTCGGGGAGGTTTTCTCCATACCACTTTTTGTCCATGGCCCCAAATACATCCTGAAAAAGAAAGAAACCCTACTATTGATGAATTTCTTGTTTGCTAATGCAAAATGAGCAATCTGGAAAAGTAGGAAGAACCAACTTGCTGGAGTGGGATGGACGGATGCAGTGCTCTGTCTGAGGGGGGTTGGTGGCAGCGCGTCTGAGGGTGGAGCATGCATACTATACGCTGATCAATCATCTGCAGGGGTTTCTGGATGTGTGGGCTGTTGGGCAGGTTCTGTGCTCGCTGGGGGAGAATGACTCTAATATTGAAGTTTTAAAGGATAGGTGTAGTTTTTGTTTTTAAAGTGTGTAAAAGAGGATGTTTTTAAATGGGTAAAACGCTTTCAAATGGGATTTTCAAATGATATTTATTTGGTAGTCATGAAAATCTGTTTATTTATTTATTTGATTGTGTAATGTATTAGTTTTGTTCCGACTCTTTTGCAGGGTGGGTGTATGTTTAAAACAAATGCAAATAAAATTTGTTTTAAAAATCAAATCTTCTTCTTCTTCTTCTGTGGTGGAGGTGTGTTTTTGAAGAGGGAAGAGGGATTTTCACTTGTATTTCGTTTGTTTCTGTTTCAATCGTTTCTTTAACTGTATGATCTTCAGTGGGGATATTTGTACTCTTTGCAAGTACGGTTAATACTTTTTCGTGAGTGTTTTTCCGTGCCTCGTGGCGGGGATGGCGTCCTTCGGGGCGCCGCCGGTGTCTCTGAGACACGGAGTGCGTTTGGTGGCTCAGGCCGCAAGCACAGTGGAGCAGGTGCTGCTGGCTGTGGGGGAGCAGGTCGGTCATGTAAACATCTCCTATGCTTCCCGCATGAACAAAGCGGTCGTGGTCTTTTTGAAAGACCAGAAATATGTGACGGAATTTATTGAGAGCGGATTAATGGTAAACGAGGAATATATTCAAGTTTCGCCGTTGGCAACACCGTCCACGCGGATCACTGTGTCTGGCGTTCCTCCATTCATCCCGAATGAGGCGCTGGAACGGGAGCTGAAGCGTTTCGGTAAGTTTGCTAGTACTCTCCGCACTGTTGCTCTGGGGTGTAAGGAGGAAAAGCTAAAACATGTCCAATCTCTGCGGAGACAGGTGTTCATGTTTCTGAATTGTCCCACTCAGACACTAGATGTGTCTTTCCGGGTGAGGCACGAAGAGGGTTTTTATATGGTGTATGCGAGCTCAGGGAACGTAAAGTGTTTTGAGTGCGGAGAGTCGGGTCACAAACGTGTTGCATGTCCACAGAGACGGCACGCCGCTCCGCCGGGTGCGGCTGAGCCCGGGGCGGCTGAGTCCGGGGCCGCCGGGGCCGCTGAGCCCGATGCCGCCGAGCCCGGGGCCGCGGAGCCCGAGGCCGCCGAGCCCGGGGCCGCTGAGCCCGAGGCCGCCGAGCCCGGGGCCGCTGAGCCCGAGGCCGCCGAGCCCGGGGCAGCCGAGCCGGCCGCTGGGTCGGCGGCCGCGGAGGCCGGTGTCGCGGGGGCTGCTGTTGCACCCGCCGGGGCCCCAGGGGCTGCGGAAGAAGTAGGGATGAATATCGTGAGAGATTAAACAGGGATTGTGGTGAGTGTGAGAGGAAAAAATGTGGAAACAGGTAAACGGGTGGGAGATGATCTAGTAGGACAGGTGAGGACCGGGGCTGTGGGACAGGTGGAGGCTGTTGGCACACAGCAGGAGCTGCCGTCTGGTTCTGGGAGGCAAAAAGAGCTTCAACAGGCTGCAGACAATAATGAGGTGACAGAGATGGACACAGACGGTGAGGGGGATTCTGACTGTGTTTCAGTTGCAGATAGTCTCTCTCAGAACACAGAGATATATTCTTTAGAAGAGATTAATGTCTTTTTAGATGAGTCCTTTGGCAAGGCAGTGGAAGTGAGAGACTTTTTCCCTGACACTAACAAGTTTCTTCATACAGTGAGCACTCTTCAGAAAGTTGTAGGGTTAGACCTGCTGGATGAAAAGAGACGCTATCGTCTCAGGAAGCATGTAACTACTATGAAAAAAGTTACGAAAGGAAGTAAAAAAGGGGGGGAAACTGAAAAGGTCTAAATAGTTTCAAAATGATCATGCAACACTGGGTGTCTCCTCTCTGCTGTGTGTACCTGTCTGTTCTTTTTCTCGGTCTCCTTCCTCTAATGCAGGCTTTAAGGGTTGCTTCTTTAAACATTAACGGGGGTAGAAGTGCACATACAAGAGCTTTAGTGTTGGAGGTCTTTAATCAGAAAAAATTAGATGTGATATTTCTGCAGGAAACGCACAGTGATAGCCTGAATGAGACGGACTGGGGAATGTGGTGGGGGGGGTCAGTATGTACTCAGTCATGGCTCAAACCTTAGTGCTGGAGTAGCTGTTTTTTTCTCCCCCTCTCTAAATGTTAAGATTTTATCCAGCACAGAGATAGTGGCAGGTAGAGCCTTGATGGTGAAAGTAGAACTGTTAGAGTTCTTTTTCACTTTTATTAATGTTTATGCACCCAATCAGGGCCCTGCACGTGTATCTGTGTTTCAGTTATTAAAAGACGAGCTAGACACTAGTGTACAGGGGGAGTGTGTTATACTGGGGGGGGACTGGAACGCTTGCACTAATGTCACTTTAGACAGAATAGGACAGGAGCCGCATCCTCAGTCGTCCCTTTTACTGTCACAGGTGATAAGAGAGGCTGACTTAGTGGATGTGTGGAGGATGAAGCACCCCTCTGTTAAACAATACACCTGGATGAGAATGCTAGATGGGGGCGTCAGTGCAGCCAGGCTAGACAGATTTTACATGTCTGCTTCTTCTATTACTCGTGCAGTGAACTGTCACATCCAACCTGTTGGTTTTACAGACCATCAGCTAGTTTCTTTAGATTTGGTTTTATCCAACACAGAGAAACCTAGATCGTTCTGGCAGTTTAATGTTACAATTTTACAAGATTTGACTTTTTGTGAGAATTTTAAATTATTTTGGATCAACTGGAAATCAAAGAAAGAATCTTTTCCCTCCCTGAGTCAGTGGTGGGAGGTAGGAAAGGCTCAGATTAGAGTGTTCTGCCAACAGTATACAGCCTACTCCACTGCAAACATTAGGAGAGCTATAGAGCAGTTAGAGAGGGAGATCAGAGAGTTAGATAGTGTGTCTGCTCGAAATATAGAACAGTCCCTCCTAAAACAACAACAGCTTAACTGTTTTCTTCAGGAGAAGGCCAAGGGAGCTCTGATCAGAGCCCGTTTTACTTCCATGAGAGACATTGATGCACCAACCACCTTTTTCTTCAACCTGGAGAGGTCTGTGGGCCAAAGGAAGCAGATGGTATGTCTGCGTCTCCCCGATGGACAGGTAACCTCTGAACCTGCTGAGATGAGGAGGCATGCAGTGTCCTTCTACACAGACCTGTTCAAAGCCGAAGGTTGTGACGTGGAAGCTGCTGATGAACTTCTTCAGGGTCTTCCACAGCTGAGTCCAGCCGAAAGTGACACCCTGGGCTCTGACATTACGCTGGAGGAATTGACCTCTGCGGTGACACAGATGGCCTCCGGCAAGGCTCCGGGCATAGACGGTTTACCTGCAGACTTTTTATAACATTTCTGGAGTATTCTGGGACATGACTTGCTGGAAGTATTGATGGAGTCCTTTGGGAAAGGGACTCTTCCAGCTTCCTGTAGGCGTGCAGTGATTTCACTGTTGCCTAAGAAAGGAGATCTAACCCTGCTTAAGAACTGGAGACCTGTGGCTCTCTTATGTACAAGTATGTATATGTATAAGATACTGTCAAAGGTCTTAGCAAACAGACTGAAGTGTTTTATTGAACTTCTTATCGGTACTGATCAGACATATTGTATCCCTGGCAGATCAATTGTGGACAATTTGTTTTTGATGAGAGACACTTTTGATGTTTGCAAACTGTATAATATAAATGTTGGTATCATTTCTATTGACCAGGAGAAGGCGTTTGATCGTGTGGATCACACGTTTCTGGCTGCCACATTGCAGGCTTTTGGTGTTGGGGAGCATTTTTTGTCCTGGGTGAAGTGTTTGTACAGTGATCCATGTTGTGTTGTGAAGGAGGGCTGAGCAGACCTGTACCAGTTAAAAGAGGGATCAGGCAGGGCTGCCCTATCTCAGGCCTATTATATAGTATTGCCATCGAGCCGCTTTTGTGCAGACTTAGAAACCGGCTGAGGGGCCTGTGTCTGCCAGAGTCAGCTCAGGCCCCCCCAGTGGTTGTATCAGCTTATGCTGATGATGTCAGTGTTTTTGTCCAGGGTCAGTGAGATATCCAGGAGCTACAGGACAGTTTAGATTTGTATAGGAAGGCTGCTTCAGCCAAAGTTAATTGGGAGAAGAGTGAGGCAGTTTTGGTAGGTCGGTGGAGTCTAGAAAATAGGCCCAGTCTTCCTGGTAACCTTAGCTGGGGAAACAAGGGTTTAAAGGTCCTGGGAGTTTGGTTGGGGTCTGAGGACATGGTGGCACAGAACTGGGAGGGATTGCTGGGAAAGGTGCAAGCAAAATTAGCCAAATGGAAATGGCTGCTACCCCAGCTGTCCTACAGGGGAAGAGTTCTTGTAGCCAACAATCTGGTTGCCTCGTCTCTGTGGCACAGACTCCAGGTGTTAACCCCACCGCCGGGCCTCATGAAACAACTGCAGCGGCTCCTCGTGGATTTCTTCTGGTCGGGTCGTCACTGGGTGCCAGCATCGGTCCTGTACCTGCCTGTGGCGGAGGGGGGCCAGGGCCTCGTGGACATTACTGCAAGGACTGCTGCTTTTAGACTGCAGGCAGCTCAGCGGCTGCTGTATGGTGCCTCTCCCTGCTGGCTGGCTATGGCCCGGCTGTTGCTCTGGAGGGCAGGGGGCTTTGGTTTTGATAAACACCTGTTTCTGCTGAAGGCCCCTGCGTACAAGATAACTGGACTTACACCTTTTTACTGCTCAGTCATCAATGCCTGGAAGATTCTGAGTTTTACCAGACCACCTGACCCCCGGCCTGGGATGTGGCTGTTTGAGGAACCACTGTTTGACACTGGTTTTCTTTCTGGAACCCTTTTCTCTTCAGCCACCCTAAAAAATGCGTTCATTGAAGCGGGAGTGGTAAAACTTGGCCATTTGACGGGGGTCTCCACAGAAAAACTGGCTGAGGTGACGGGCATTCGATCAACCCGAGTTCTGGAGAACTTGGTAGATGAGGTGTGGCAGTCGCTGTCGCCATCCCACCGGACTTTTGCTCTGGATGCAGATCTGGCTGACCAGTGGAGAAAGGGACATGATTATGTTTTTTCCTGCCTTGAGTGTGGGTCCTGCGGTGGGGGAATGGAGAGAGGAGGATGGTCTCCTGCTATCACTGGGGACTCTAACACCTGCAATGTTCACCTCCTGCAATGGGAAGAAGCTATACCTTAGCTGTGTAAAGGTGTTAAACCTCAGCTCGCTCGCAGGCGTCAGAGAGTCGAGGTGGACGGATGTGTTTGGCTTGGGCTCTTCCCCTCAGGGCAGCTGGCGGATCCTGTATAAATCTCCGGTTGAGAAAAGGATGGCTGACATCCAATGGAGAATTATACACGGTGCAATAGCCACAAACAAATACAGAGCTCATTTTGACCCAGGCACAAGGGGAGGCTGTCCGTTCTGTTTTATGGCAGAAACATTGGAGCATTTAGTCGTGTCCTGTCCCCGATTGGCTGGTCTTAAAAAAATGTTACAGGGGTGGGTGGAAGGGTTCGGGGAGGTTTTCTCCATACCACTTTTTGTCCATGGCCCCAAATACATCCTGAAAAAGAAAGAAACCCTACTATTGATGAATTTCTTGTTTGCTAATGCAAAATGAGCAATCTGGAAAAGTAGGAAGAACCAACTTGCTGGAGTGGGATGGACGGATGCAGTGCTCTGTCTGAGGGGGTTGGTGGCAGCGCGTCTGAGGGTGGAGCATGCATACTATACGCTGATCAATCATCTGCAGGGGTTTCTGGATGTGTGGGCTGTTGGGCAGGTTCTGTGCTCGCTGGGGGAGAATGACTCTAATATTGAAGTTTTAAAG